GCTAAGTCCCCAAGCAACACCACTCCATGGTGCCTGCTATGGAGTCTGAATTGTTAACGAAGATATTTAACAAGAAAATGAGTGGRAAAGTAAGCGAGTRAGTGGCAGCGCGACCCATCTAGCTMCATCCRTGTTTAATGATTGCCATCATAAATTAACGTTTTTATAATGTCTTATGTCATTGCAGCGTTTTTTGGTGCTTTGATTAACTGTTTTGTCCATGTCATCATGTATTCATATTATGGTCTATCGGTATTCCCAAGTCTTAGAAAGTATCTTTGGTGGAAGAAATTCCTTACACAATTCCAACTGGTAAGATGAAACTTGGTCTAAATTCTACTTATATAGCTTCAGTATTAAGACCGGGGTACCCAATATTTTCTCCGCAGCCTACCCTTAGGTTGGGGGGTTCGGACGAAACCCCATCCCCCTCACAAGCTTAAAGGTCCGGTGTTTCTCTTAGTTTTGTTGTTATATTTAAAATTCTTTTCTTATGAACTGTTTTTGAGATTAGTATTTTGTTATGAACTGCTCATTCTAGCAGCCAAATTGATTTAGGTCCGCATTGTGAAAAACGACCCCCCCACTTCCCTCCCATTTGTAAGGCAGCCTACGGGCCTGCTTCATGTCCCTCTCACGCCCGCAAGATGAGTGATACCCGGAGGGTTTGGTACAAACTAAAACGTATTTTTATTCAATTCCAGTTACAATTCTGCACCGTCATGTCACACGGCGTAGTTAGTCTTAAAAGCCAATGTAAGTTCCCACTATGGATGCAGTACGCTTGCATGGGCTACATGATATCATTCCTTGTTCTTTTTTCGAACTTTTATCTCCACGCGTACATCATGAAGAAAGTAAGAAAACATTACGAGAATGGTGWTGTAAAGCAGGAAAAAAAGATTGATTGATGTCGGACAATGGATATATCGCTTTTTGATAGAAATTGTTTTATAAAGATTGATTTGGTTATCTTGCGAGCAAAAGTCTCGGCAAGGAGGAAAGATAGCATAAATGATTTCTTTTGATTGTAAAACTCAAATTATTTGCAATACCACAACTATCTAAAGRTTGATTYACACTGACTATACAACTTCTCTGAAAACATCACATACAACATGTGAAGACAAACTGCGTCGTGTAAATCAAGCGAACAACTCACTAGAACTACTTAAAGGTTGATTTACACTCTACAACTTTTGTCTATAACTATCGCATACAACCTGTGCGCGTCATACATGTACAACACGAATTGCGYYGTGTAAATCCAGCCAACAACTCACTACAACTAGCTAAATGTTGATTTACACTGTACAACTTTTGTCTACAACTGTCGCATTCAACCTGCCAAAGACAACCAAAAGGTTAATTTACACAACTTACTGTTACTTGCTGTTTACGTAACGCTCTTTACGTAACGCGGTTCAGTGAACTKACTTTTTAAGCTTGTGTTGTACGTTTGTCTTTCTCAAGTACTCAAATGTAACGAACGCACAAAATTAATTAAAATATGACAACRCCGTTCTCATAAACCACTTTATTAGCTTTATGTAAGTTTATATCAAAAATATAATCTCTAGGTTGACAAAAAATTCATCGTCCAAGATTACAAAACAGTGTTTTTCCCCTTATAACCCCACCATTACCATAACTTGTGAAAAGTAAATATAAAATAAGTTTATCCAATATGAGTACATTTGTACAAAAGTTTTTTGTAATTTAGAAATTATTGAAGTTTACGTTACGGACGTAACGTTAAAGAAACAAACGTAGTGTTACTCTTAAGACATTAGAGTAAGGACATCATTGTTACGTAAATTCTGTTACGTACAGCTAGTTAACAAATTCTGCAATGTTACGTAACGTTAAAGGAACCGTACCTAAAGTGTTAATCTTAAGACATTAGAGTAAGGACATCATTGTTACGTAAAGTCTACATTACGTGCAGTTATAGTTAACAAATTCTGCAATGTTACGTAACGTTAAATGAATCGTACGTAAAAGTGTTGTGATTAGAACTAGTACAATAAAACCCGCGAAATAAAACTTGACAAGTTGGGTTTGATAATCAAAAGAAACGCAAAAAAGTGCAACGGTATTAGCGCGCACTGTGTCTAACTCTAATGGTGGTAATACTTATATGTTTTACTCGTGTCACGCAATGTGCCACGTAACGCTATTTCGCATACAAAAAAAGTTTTTTTTCTTTTTACATGTAAAAATAGAGATGAATTACTTTCATTTTCTCGATCCATAAGTTATAGACTTGCATACATATAAGTACTAAAACTCAGGATACAGAAAATCAATACGGATAATTGAATTTGTCGGGTTTTTTTACCAGTTTCGTCACAAAATGAAAGTCACGCAATGATAGATCGTCACCCAATGATAGATCGTCACGCAATGATAGATCGTCACGCAATGATAGATTGTCACGAGTCGTGTTGTACTTATGATATAAAACGCTAAGCAAATCTTATTCCAAGATCGTGTGACATGGCAAGTCTTGCGTTACTTCATAGAGTGACAAGACTGGTACACCTTGCAAAAAAGTTGGTATATAGGTATGCATATATAGTGTATGTACAAAAATATAGAATAGAAAATTTGTGATACTTCATGGAAGTAAGAGATACAGGGTTCGACTAAGCCTACTACTAGAAGCTAGTCTAAACATGCTGAAAGCATTCGATTCGCAACTTTTCCTTGGTTACCCGTCTGTTAAAAACACGTTGCCATAGCAACTTAAGAAATCACCTTGGTTACAAGAGCGTTTCCAAGCTAACCACAGTTGCTTAATGAAGTTGTTATGGATACAATATGGTTATCATGGAAACACTGAAGTTACCATTGGCAATTTAGATTTGTTTAACAAATCCTCGGTTGCCAAGCAGTATGTCACCTAGGATACACAATTTAAGCTAAGCTGTCACTATAGTTACCTATCGYTTCTGGTTACTAGKAAAGTTTAAAACGTGGATCACGTTGACTTTTTCATGAAACTAAAATTGCAGTCCTTCATAGTGTCGGGTGCAAATTTGTAAATGAGCCTCTGTCCAGGGACCCTYTCTAAAATGTGCCTCTCGTAGTAGTACCTTAGTGCCCGGCTCATCTTCTCGTAGTTCATGTTCCGACGGTTTTTCCGCTGACCCCAAAGTTTTGCCACCGCGCCTGAATTGACCAATCGGAAGACGCCCTCTTCACGTGAGATCCACGTGATATAACGTGGGCATGTTTCCTCGTTTTCCAACAGTTCCTTTAGGAATTCCCACAGGTGAAGTGAACGGGTTTCTAAATCGACGTAAAAAAAAGTTTAGATCTTACGTTCGTCGCAAACACGTTTTATAACATGAATGCTTGTGCTTCTGGACGTAAATGCTTGCGTTTCTTGACGTAAATGCTTACGTTCCTTAACCCACTTACGCTTCTCGTGTAAATGCTTCCTTTTCTTTGCGTAAATGCTAACGTTTCTTAACGCAAACGCTTACGCTTCTCGTGTAAATGCTTCCTTTTCTTTGCGCAAACGCTTACGCTTCTTTTGTAAATGCTTTTTTTTGCGTAAATACTTACGTTTTCTACGTCCCCCAGGTTTTCGTACACCGTTAGATAACTTGGAAGGGCTTGAGCAATCTGTTGGTAAAACATACCCGTTTAGTCATTTGTTTCGTTATTATTATTTTTTTAATATTGATCAATACCTTCTCGTGGTTCCTCCGTCCCTGAGTCGGTTGAACTCGAGCTTATTCTTCGTGTTCGGTCAGCGGGCTTCACCTGTTCACGCTGAAATGGCGAGTTGGGGGAGACTGGAGAAAGAGCACTGTCTTCGTCACTCGACCTCGGTGATTGCAAGGACTCTACGTGGTTACCAACCGACGGCTTGTTGCTAGGCGACCTCACATCTACTGGCACTTTACTGGATTCTTTCTTGACAACATGGTT